AAAAAACAAAAAAAAAAAAAAAAAAAAAAAAAACACAGAGAGAAAACGTGTGGCTTGAAACAAGAATACCGTCAAACTTTCAAACTTTCAAACTTTCCTCAGGTAGACCGGAGAAATGAGATTCGGAGCCGTGCGCGCGGGCGCGGCATGCGTTGATTCAGAAAGGCTAACGTTAGTTTCTTCCTACGGCCGAGAAGGAACAACACACAATCAACGCCCCTTCAGCTCCGAGTCCAGTCCCGGCCAACGGGTAGTGGGATTTCGGGGGTTGATGTGATTGATGTGCCAGAAACGTGTCTTGTCGGGTGGGATGTTGGAGGGTTGGAGGAGGGGGGGGGGCTGATGGAGGGCGTCGGCGGGCTACGGCTGAGCCTATTTCAGCAACTTGAAAGAAGGATAATGGAAGGTCCATGGAAGGATCTGCCGGGCATGGGTTGTTTTTCAGCCCAGAATGTCAAGGTCATGATCCCTGCGTGCGGGGGGGCGTGCGCAGGAAGAATCGTCAACTCATCTCTTTGCCCTTGTTAAAGTGCATTCAGACATTCAAACATGAAAGTTTGGGGGAAATGGGAGGGATCATGGATTTCTGGGGGGGCCCAGCCGGGCGGAGTATTCGTAGGCAATGCCGAATTTTCCCTTTTTTGCTGTCACGGAGATCCGAAGCGAGAGATGAGCGGCCGCTCTGCGACCCGTGCTTGCTTTCTTTCTTTTGAAGACATTTGGGAACAAAAGAGGACGAGAAATGCGGGCGCACTAAAACAAGCCACCATCTCTCGACAAGGACCGGGGGGGAGGGGGAGGGGTCCCCTTCTGTCAACCTGTCATTACGATTTTGCGAAAAAGCTTAGTATCTGAACTAATTAGCACTAGTTTTTAAAGTTGGTTGCCCATTTTGTATTGTGCGTATTGTAAACTCCGTTACGGCTGCGGAAAAGGATTACAGCGGCGCCCGCAAATCGGGATCGTCATGTTGGGAGTTTGGCTTGAAGCCGAGGTTACAATGCGATAATACCCAACCCAGCCTAGATTTTAGCGCATATCGGAACTTTTTTTTTTTTTTTTGTTTTTGGTTTGGGCTCATATTAAAGTTGCCTTCGATCCGACGTTTTGGACTAATAAAGGGTAGTTATCCACTGTCCTCGTTATCTGGGCAAATGAGCAGCTGCCAACAGGGTAACGGGGGGGGGGGCCTCTATCTGTCTCGTTCCCTCCAGAAAACCCGAAACATGGAAACGGGGGGCGGGGGAATGGGGTAAGGAAGGCTGTTTTGGGCACGCCGAGCTGGAAAAACCGGCCGGCCCTTGCCCGCGAATCTCGCTCTCTGTCACTCTCTCGCTTTAATAAGTCGATCACTGGCATTTCAGTTGGCAGGGTCTCTGGCAGGGCCTCTGGGGCGACCAATTAGATGGTGCCATTATCCAGCGAAGCCTTGCAGGGCTAATTGGTTCTAATACGCTTGGCTGCGTCTGTGTGTGGTCGGCAGGGGAGGGGAGTGGAAGGCCGGGGGGG